GGATGTGCAAACCGGATCAGAGAACCCGCCGGCCCTGCCCCGAGCGCCCCGGTGTTCCCCGAGCGCCGAACCGGATCGCGGGGCCCGGCTCCGCCCGGCGCGGCCGGAAAAGCCCGAGCAGCGCAGCGGGCGCGGCGGGAGCCCCGCGGGGCGGCGGCCGCCCGCTCCCCCCGAGGCCGCGGCCCGTGGCTCCCCGTCCCTCCCGCCCACCGAGCCGCGCTCCCCGCGGAGCGCCACGGAGGCCCGGCCCAAGCGCCGCTCCCGGGAAGCCGGGGCCGCCTCACCGTGTGCTCGTGCTCGTCGGCGCGGGCGCGCAGCGGCAGGAGCGGCAGGAGCAGCAGGAGCAGCCCGGGCGCCGCCATCTCGGGCCCTCGGCGTCCCCAGCAGGCCCCGCCGCGGCACCGGCCCGCGCCCGCCGCCGACGCCACTTCCGCCCCGCCCGCCACGTCACCCGCCCGCCTGCCGGAACCGCGGGGGCGCTACGGGAGCCCCGCGGGGCGGGCGGAGCCCGGCAGGTACCGAGGGCGGGCACAGGGCGGCCTCGCCCCGCGAGCCTGGGACCGAGTGCGGCAAGCGGGAGCGCCGTTCTTACGGGATGGAATTGTAATTGATATTTCGTTTTGATCGATAAAGTAATGAAAAGGTCTTTGGGAAGGGCGGGACGCAGGGCAGTGTACAAGAACCTTCTGGAGGCACATGTGTTGGGAGCAGCAGCTGAGGGAGCTGCGGTTTTTGAGCCTGGAGAGGAGGAGGCTTAGGGGAGACCCTTACCACTCTCTGCAACTCCCTAAAAGGAGGCTCCAGCGAGGCAGGGTCCGTCTCTTCTCCCGGGGAGCCAGTGACAGGACAAGTGGAAAGGGGCCCGAGCTTGGACATTAGGCGCAATTTCTGCACGGAATGGCTGAGCAGATATTGGAAGGGCTGCCCTGCGGCTCCGTGTGCTGCTTGTGCGAGGGCTGTAGAGAATGGGCCTGTGTATTTCACTGATGAGCTTGGAAAAGACCTCCGAGGGCGTCGAGTCCAACCTCGGCCTGAACATCACCGTATCTACTTGACCATGTCCGGTCTTTCCTTAAACAGCCCCAGAGCCAGGGCAGGCGCTGAGGCAGCACAGCCACACCTGGACTTGTTCAGGGTAAGGTTTCTGTCAGTGCAAGATGAAACCCACAAACCTACCTCAAATTACAAGTCTACAGTAAGAAAAACCAAACCAAACCAAGCCCTCAATCCAAAAAGCTCATGTCATTGAACACTGATTCATCAGACAACTTTAAAATTAATTATAGTAAAAAATTTCAAAAGTTATTCTATATATTCTCTCAAAAAAAAAGGGGGCGGGGGCTATGCCATCTTCTCAAATAAAGAGAGCCAACAAATAAGCAGACAGACAATAAATGATATGAGCAGAAGGCAGGAACTCTGTGCTGTTATGTGTCATCCATGCTTTGTAAAAATGATGCAGAAAGCAGATTTCCCTGTTACCATCATACCTGTGCTAAAAGCTTTTCCTCTTGTGGTTTCACATTCAGTCTACCTTCCCTGCACATATTTCAAAGGTGTATTTAACTTTTTTCAGAGATGCAGGAGATAGTGCATGCACTGTTTCAGTAGAAGCGAGGTCCCTATAGAGACACTTGCCAAAACCCATGCAAAAGCCATGCTTGTATTACACACACACATAGAGACTAAAAAAAAAAGAAAACCTAGACAGTTTTGATAACACCATATGTTTCTTTCTAGTCATTGCATCTCAGTCCAAAATAGAGTAGCTTACCCTTGGGAGACAGAGAAAGGAGGCTTCAGCATCTTCAGTTTATTCAGTACTTAAGTCTCTCAGTCAGCACCAGGGCCAACCAGAGCCATCTGCTGCAGCAGGGTTTGCAAGGCATGCTGTACAAAGAACAAACACTGTCCCCAGGCCTGCCAGCTGGCACCTGACTTTGGTGGATTGGTTGATGCCCCTACAATTGGCCAGGCCACTCAAGTTTTTACAAGCAGTTTTTTAATCTCTCTAATATGCATCAGAAACACTTCATATTTCTCTTTCCACTTTCCCTCCCAAGCATATTCTTAAGTAACCAGCAATCTGCATGCACTCTGTTTCTTCTCTGGTTTCTTCTGATCTTCAGTTTCAGTACATTTCTCATCCTGGGTGGAATTAACACACACCACATGCTCACCAGCACAAAAGACAGATACAGGGACTGCGTACATTGAAATGTACGAGGCTGAAAGCAACTAGATGAATCCAACCTATGTGGAATACACACTTTGGTGGGCTAAGCAGGTGCATTGCTGTTGGCCTGTAAGAGGCTTAAAAGACATGACTGCATCCAATTGTTTACCTGCATCCAACAGTAAAGCCATCTTAGTGCTGCTCCTTTTTTCCTCGTTAGGGTGAGAGTCTTGCAGTGATTGTTGGTTACTGAGAATCCCCCACTAATCCAGCAGCAGTGAGACAGGAATTCCTGAAACCACAGCTGCATCTTCAGTTTCTGTCCCTTAAGGAGTGCAGAAGGGGCCTGAACAGAATGCATTTACAGTATGGCTCAGCTCTCCTTTTCCCAGCTCACCTCTCCCAGAGCCCCACCAGCACTTGGCTTTAGGTGATGGGTCAGGCCAGAGTAATGAAATATCTCAGCTTCAAATGGGAGAGGGACTGAAAGGCTACTTATGAGCTACTTTCAGTAATTCACATATAACCATCTCTCCACAGCACAAGCAAGAAATATCCAGTTCACAGCCATGGTATTAGGATTCTGCAAAGTCAAATGCTCAGATAAATCCCTCCCATAGAGGACATCTGGCTATAACATGGAGGGGATGCAGAATTAAAAATTAGCTTGGAAAGACAGATCCCAGGGCTGCTTCAGTCCAACAGTGCTGAAAGAAAATCTGCATGACACACATATAATTTGCTCTTCCTTTCCTGCCTTATTACAGTTTTACCCACATCCCACAATTCTACTTTATGATGTACCTGGCAGATGTGAAAGCAGACAAATTCCTCTTACCACATCACAGCTCCAAAGTCTGGGGCACAGCTGCAGTCACCACCAAGAAGATAGGGAATTTTTGAGCAAAACCAGGGAGCTGTATGCAAACCAAAGCATGTGCAGCTGAAGACAATCAAGCTGTTTATCTTTTATCCCTAACTTCACTTATCCTTGCTACTGTTTTCCCCATTTCAGCACCAAAACCTCCTTCCCTCCTTCCAATTTGAGCTAATAGAGCTGGAAACCTTGTTTCAGTCCAAGAAGAGCACAGGAGGGCAGCTCTCACCTCACCATTCCCCTGGCTACAGTGAACAAAAGCAAACTCACTGAAAGTCTATAGTGGCAGTCACTGGAGACAGCACTGAGGTTCCTTTTAAAAATAATATTAAAAAAAAAAAAAAAGCAAAACAGAAAGGACACCTCTCTATCTGTTGTGCTGTGTATGGAGCACAGCAACTGCATCCCTCTGCCATCAAAAGGAGAGGATTTATGAACTGCATTTGGAGTCACCCAAATCCTATGAGTCTAATGCATAGATGATATTTAGCATATGCCTATATCCCTGAAAGGAGCAGGGGCTCCTCCACCTTCATTCAGTGCTGGTCAAGTCACAGTTGTTGTCACTTCTGCAGCTTCACGCATTGGGTTTGCCACCCTGCAAGAGAAAGGAACTGCAACTCTTGTCACCTGCTCTCCTACAGATGAAGGGGAGCTGACATGATCAGACAGAAGCTCTACATGTCCTGCCTCTACCTGAGGGATCACCTAATACAGATGTATCTGTCTGTTTTTCAAGTCATTCCCTGCTCTTTCATCCCTGAAAACCAAGTATGTAATGATGTTTAATCCTCTACCCTGAATGTTACCTTGCAGATTCCCGTCTGTGTCACTCATAGACAACCAGAGCCCTAAATTGTCCCGGAAGGGTTGGGATATGCACAGAAAATTTCAAGGTCTGGAAGAGAGCCAAACCAGGAAGTCTCCTTAAGTCTGTAAGCTCTCAGGCAGAAAAAAAGCTGGACATAGCTGCTGCAGATTCACATTGGTAGAAAGGGACAGTAGAGCAAGCAGAGTCCAGCTCCCAGGCCGTCTGTTCCCACTGCAGCCAGCTAAAATATGGCTGATATTTGTGAGGGGTGTGCACTGATAACTGGAGACTCACTGCTGTTCCAGAGTACGAAGTGGAATGCCTTCATATTGCTGCATAATGACCGCATGTGAAAGACACAGAACACAGCACTACCACCAACACCGACACAGCACAGCACTCTAATTTTTGAGCTCAGTCATGTGATTTTTTAACACCATATCTGCACCCTGCATGAAAAAAGCTTAAGTTCAGTTGGTTTGTGATACAGAAGATCCCTTACCAGCTGTCTTGGGAATTTTCATGGTAAATACAGCACACACAACACCTTGTCTGTCCTCTTCAGGAAGTGAAGAGGAAAAGGAAAGGCATTTTCAAGGCTGTGTGCAAAATACATTCTTGAAGACAATTTCTCACCCCCCCATGGTTTAATGATTGCTAAAGGGGAATGCTACACCTTCTGAAAGGTCAGTATAATTGTATCCAAAACGTTATGCCAAGCAGTAGTACATTCACCTGCTCCTGCTGTAATGAGCATTTTTCAAACATCTTATTTTCTTTACTTTTTAAGCATGTTTTCCAGTCAAGCCCTGATAGACTATATTGAGAAGTTTGGTAACAATGCTTATCAGGATTTAGTTCCTAAAAGCCAATGTGCTTTCTTGATCAGATGGGATCTTCATGTTGATGCAGGGCTCCCAAGACACACATCAATGTTCTTCCTAATGATGATACCTTTTCTTGAAGCCCCAAAATTCTTCCAACTAAAAAAAAAAGTTATAAAACGCTAAAAGGTCCCAGTGAAAATCATGGGAAAAGTCACCAGAGCTTCAGGGAAGGCGAAGGGGATGAAATCATTTGGGTCCCACTTATAAATAATTTAACGCAGCCCAAAAAAATCTGTACAAACACATGTATAAACAAAAAAAATCTCATATTCCACGGATGTTGAGAGATTCAGCGACCTCTTGGGGGCACAGGTGGAGGATAAAAGCCTTCACAGCTTACAGGCCTATAAAAAGACAGATAATGAAAATGTATGAAAAAGTAGTAGAAAATAGAATTCTGGAACAACACATTGCATGCAATAAAATCATATGTAAGCATAGTGAACAATCAGTAGTCATACAAGAAACAAAACAGGCTGATTGAGCAACAGAGCAGATGCCAAACTGCCAGAGCATTGTTCCTGTCCAAGCCATTTCTTCTGTTCTTCGGCTGCAGTAATTCTACCATTACTGGAAAGAGATGCTATAATGGTTGGTCGGAGTAAAACTTTGAGAGTTTGGTAGCTTTCTCAAAAACATACTCACTTTCTGCCTTTGCTAACTGCCTTGCTTTCTGTCCAAGGCTTCCATAAGGATTAACTGAAAGCACACATTTTGAGCTGCATTTTATTTTTACCTGCTTGCACCTCGAGGAGGCACTCTGGGAGGCCTTTCTGGGAAAGGAAGCCTCTCTACTTGGTGAAGAACTGGGCTGCGGCTCCTTGCTGTTTCTGGGACTTCGCTGTCCTACAAAATGAACAGAAGTGTTTACAGAACAGCAGGATCTGGTTCTTGGTATCCTCACAAAGGTGGCTACATTTTGGCATTTCTCTAAATGGAAAGCCAGCTCTGAGCTCTTTTTTCAGCATGAAAACAAAGGCATGTACTTAAGGACAGCAGAGGAGTACATAGCAGAGGTGAGAGCTTACCTCAGTGTCCCCTTCCATCCCACTGCTGACACTCAGTATACTCCGAGTGCTGGAGCGGTTACTTGCACTACCTGGAGGAAGCAAGAGAAAAAACTGATTAATAAACCCTGGGCATTTAACTGCAAATTCCTAACTCAAGGCTCTTTCTAACCCCATGTTTAATTCTTGCAAATTTAATTAATGCTTGTTTAGATTAATTTATTTTCACTGTTTTTTTCATGTATTTGGGAACCAAACAACAGCATTTCACACAACACAAACCACAGGACCAAGCAATTCAATTACGCTTTCTTTTTAGAAGATTTCTGCCTTATCTTTCTTTATCCAGTCTTCTGGTCAAATACTCACAACCACAATCTATTCTTTATATCTATCATATCATATAATATGAAAAGATCTAATGCTAATATCTGGAAGTCAGGCAAATATTTTCACAAGGGTTACACACCCAACACTTATGTACATTTAAATTATCAGTCCCCGTATCTTTAACAACTGCATGAAGATAGATGGCTCTCGGCACTGTCACATATTCATTCCTGGAGTGACTCCTTAAGAAGTTATTGTTCCAAATAAATGACTGTTTACTACCCCCTCTTACAACAATCCTCCATCACCACAGAAATGTTTCCAGGTCTATTTCCAAGCTAAAAACAAGTTTGTTCAAACAACATTCAGCACCCATCTATGCAAACCCATTAAACTGTCATGGACTCAGAGTAGGGATTGTTTTTTCAATCAGTCATGCCAATTTCAAAGGTGACAGCAACTCACAAACATACCCTATGCTGCTATGGCTGGTTTCAGTACTAAATAGATAACATTCTATAGGGCTGTGAAATATGGGGATACTACTATTCAGAAACCTGTATACTGAAATGGTGGCGGAGAGGTTTTCTCCTAAGATGCAGTCCCTCCCTGCTAGCTTTGGTAAGTCTCATCAGCTGGTACAAACAGCAGCACTTTAGAGTGCTAAATCCTGTGCTAGGGTCCATTCTCAGCATCACCCCGTGAGAAAGAGCACCAGGCTGCATACAGCGAGCTCTGCAGACTTGTTAATGCTTCTCTCACACGTGCTTGTAGGTAAGTTACTGGCTCAGCCAGCTGCCTCTGGCACCTATTCTGGATGAATGCCAGCTGCACCTTGCCAAGAGTCACAAAGGTGGTAACCTAACAGGAAGTCAGGTTTCCTTTCAAAGGACCCAACTGATCCTAAATGATTTCTGCAAGAATTGCTCAGTCTGCAGTAAGAGTAAGAATGCAGGGATTTAATTTGTACAAATGAAATGCAATGAAAAGCAAAGGTAATAAAAATGTGCAGACTGCCCAACTACTCAAGAGGTCCCACAGTTACCAATGAACAATGTTGTCCTTTATGTAAAACAATTGAAGAAACAATGTGCAGAGACTGGCTTCCAGCCCTTCAGGCCAGAAGAGCACACAGCCTGCTGGCAGTCACAGCATGGGAGCATCCTTTCCAATAAGGCAGCAGCTGCCATCTACTTTTAAGAACTAAAAACAGGTGGCATGCCTTCCCTGAGAAGGGCTCAAGAGAATCTTTTGCTCAGCTTCAGGTTCTCCTCCTGCAGAGATGCAGACAAAAGATGCCCAAACCACTTGATGCACACCTGGAATTGCTTTTACAGTTTTGAGAACAGCTGGCCTGAGGCATGCAAGGTTTGGGGTGGCATTGTCACTGCTGGGATTCAGGAACAGAAGTCCTGTCCCCTGGGTTGACCCCAGGGTAAGGCTTGGAAAGTGTGTTCCATCCAGCTCTCCTGTAGGGACGGTGATGCTCATAGGTTGCTTACTTGTCGTGCTGGATGTGCTTTCTGTTTTCCAGTCTCCTCGTTTTAACTCCCTTTTTGGTGGAAAAAGGTTTTTCCTGGGAGTGTATTCATATATTCCACATTCTGGTTTCCCCAAAGTATTACGAGAATGTCGAATGGGTACTGTAATTTCCAAATCTGGAAGGGAAAATGAACAGCTCAGAAAGGTCTATGCAATTATAGCCTCCAAGAGACAGTTTTGCACTGAAGGACAGAGTTAAACACAATTGCATAAGGACAATCAAAACTGTGCATGAGTGAATCAAGATGCACTCCACAGATGGGGACATCCTTTTCTTGGCTGTGAAAGTGAGCAAAGCAGTTTCCTTAAGTTTTTGACAACTGGCACATGGATGTGCGTATTAAAATATCACAGAACCACAATACACATGGACACACCTGCCTGAAGAGCTTTTTAATATGGTTAGCTGCTTCATTACCAGACAATATCAGAATCAAAGACTGTTACCTGCACTTTTGTCTTTTTTTTGCTTCTCCATTTGCCTTCTGGTTATGCTGTCTCGTAGACGTTTCAGATTTTCCTAAAAACATCACAAGATATTCTTTTCAGGGCTTTGGATAAAGAAAGATGAGCAGCTTTCTGACAAAACCAGTATTATATTTTTGCTAACTTTGCTAAAGTTTATAAATAAAATCACTATATTTTAGCTAAATTTGTTTTGCAGTCAAGCTGTAACAAAGCTTGCTAGACCTGGCTGAAGTCCAAACCATGTCAACAGATTTTATTCTATTCCTTTCAGAAACCCATGTGTGCCTTTCAGAAGCCAAGTTTTTTTTCTGATGTTCATTATGTAGGTTAAGGTCAAGTTCACATATGGGCAGTTGCATATAAGCAGCAAATTAGGTTTAGAACTCTGTATTTTCTGCTTGCACTGTGACACTGGCACAGAAACATAACCCACAACCAAGTAACTGCACTGTTCTTTCTGTTCCAATGAACAGATTATTCTGACTGCAGGGACAGAAAGGGCTGCCATGCATCCCACAGTGTAAGGTACAACTCAGAATTCAGGATATCCCCAGTGAAGAAATGTAGCTGGGAGCAAAGACTTTTCACCATTGTGTGGCAGCATATTACACCTCACAGTACAAAAAGGTAACGAGAAAAAAGACAACTTTTTTCAGCAGGGAAATATGTACAGATGTGAGAGGAGGAAACCCCTGAAAAGCAGAGGAAAGAACTGCTGTACCGTGAAGCAAAATTCAGAGCAGAGACTTTGAAAGCTGCTCATGGTATGGGGCACAGAGTATGCCCCTTTATCTCTTCAACATCAATTTACTTAAGTAGCATTGTGTTCTTCTCTGGTAGAAGAAGGGACTCCTCTGACTCTTTCTGGGTAGAGAGGACCTTTCCAAGTGAGAATCAGGAGGAGAAAAGCTTTGCATTTGCTGACAACTTCCAAAACAATGTCCCTCACTGGAGACTAGACTGCCACAGCATGAACAAAAGGCTCCAAAAGAAGCAGGCACTGGTTTGAAAGAGTGAGCCAAACTCTAACTTGAGAATGAAAATTTTCCACTATAACTGATAGTTCCACCAGTTGTTATGTCACTGCTGCCAACTGACTCCCTCTTTCTGTTAAGGCACCCAAGCACTCTGCTTTTACTAATGACTATTGCTAGACCTTGTCCAGCTGCAAAGAACAGTCCTGTAGCCCCCAACAAACAGCTGGAGAAATCAGATCATCTACCAGCTAGGGCTTTACAGCCAATACATCATCTGGGACACAGAGTCTTCACTGATCTCAAATGGATGAGAGCCAACAAGTTAAATGTTCATCACAGAAGTCCCCTGCCAGCAGGTAAGTGCTAGGTGACCTCTAGAAAGGTGATTTAGCCAACTGGATTTGATCCAATTCCTTGTATATACAGATCTTCAAAAACTGATGCTATTACTGCAAGACAAACAGATCTGTAAAACTGCTTACTGGGAACAGCCTTCCCATGGCAGGAGAGAACTCTGCTAACTGAGGGGCTATGTTAACAGTCTTCCTGTTCCAACCAGGAAAAAAGTGTACCCATGCTGAGAAGGTACATTTTGTGATATATAGAGAGACAGCTGTATTTCTTAAACAGTAGCATAAGTCTGTACCTGCTGGAACCGGAATGATTCTGATCTCTTTTTCTGGTTCAGTTGCCACTCCTTAAAGTGAAGTACAGCTTCATCCACAGTGAGGATGCCCATTTTCACTTGCTCCTGTAATGTAATCAGCTGCCGCTGACCTGGGGTTTTCATTCCAGCAAATGGATCATATATACTTGATTGAGACAGGTCCCTTACAGGCCTGACTATTGTCTCTGAGGAGAGAACACCAGCAAAAATATTATTAAACTTGTGGATCTACCTTCCTCACTGAATACAAAGAGATCAAGTACCCTTGATCCAGCAGACATAAAAAAAAAAAGAAAAAGAAAAAAGGGGGGAAAAAGTATTACAGACTATTTCCTAAGAAGTGTTTTCTTCTTAGGCCATCCTACTATTTATCATGTCTAAAAGCCCAGCTGAGAGGTAACCTCGTACACAAATATATTCCAGGGATAAGCTCTGCTCTTAAAAACATAATTTAAGTAAAGAGCACAAAACATATTCCTTAAAGCACTGTACTTCCTCAGCAATTCACAGAACAGAGCTTTTACCTTAGCTGTCACAAAGCTAGATTCTATCTAGGTAATCTGTGCCCAGATCTGTGTAATCTAAACCCAGAAACTGAAAACTCATTCTACTGATGTTGGCATTTTTTAACTCATTTGTAACATAAAGAAGAGTTCCCAAGACATGAGATGTGCTCCCCTCACACTCTGCACTTATAAAAGTTCCCAGTGTCACAAATGGTCAAAAAGGTTGGGTCATCCATAGAAGACTGTTATCCCCAGAGCTTTGCAAAACAGTCTATTCTGTCATATTTCACACAAATGAAGCTACCACAACAATCTGCTTTTGGATTACTGAAAGGAATTTCAGGGTGAACTTCTGCCTTACCTTTCTTAACCCTTCCTCTAGGGACATAAAGATTCTCAGGTCTTTGAGCCTTCTGTGCAAAAACTGCAAAAGAAACATTCTTTAGATACTGAGATGCATCTCATGAAGACAGAAATAGCAAGGAAGAATATGGCAAGCATACACAATTCTGCACTGCCTTACAGCTTCTGTTACCTTTCTAAGTCCATTGAAGAAAACAAAGATTTGTACAGCAGAATTCCCTTTCTGTTGACCTCAAAGAATTTAGCTCAGCCACCTCTAAGAGAAATCTGGACATGATTTCTCCTTAGCACTGTCACAGCAGGAAGAAGTCACAGGAATTACTCTCTCACATGTCTTTGTGGTTCTTGTTAGAATGGAAAGCTTGGTCATATATCATGAACAAAGCTGCCTAATGAACTAGGAGGAACAATCTTCAATTTCAATAAAACCCCACCTCAGAGGGAGGTACTAAGGTATAAAATCATGTCCTATACAAATGCAGTTGAATCAATGATAACATTACAGATCAGCAATGTCTCAATTTATTGGTTTGATTGTGTCCTTATATCAGGATCCTTCCTACTTAGTTGGACTTGTTTATACCATTTGGGGGTAATCTGTCATGCTACTGCTTTCAGGAAGAGCAAGCTTAGGCCAAGATCTTGGGATATAACACCCCCACATTTTCAGAGTAGGCAAAAGATGAAAAAACAGATATGGAATTGGATCCCAAAAGTAACTTAACTCCAGAGTCAAATAATCCAGGGATCCTGGCATTTATTTGGCAACTGGAGCCCATGTCAATTGTATTCTACAGTTTACTGGTCTACACTTCCACTGATAACCAACTCACTTTTGGAGATGTACAGTTCATTGTCTGGCTGTGGAGAGCTAGATTCTGGTCTTGGAACAGGAACTGGAGGTCTGTTAGCCATTTCCTGTGGAAAAGGGTCTTGTTCCACTGAGTAGTACACATCTTCACCATACTGCTCATGACCTCCTTCCTCAGAATCTGGCACATCCATGCTACCACCTACAATGAAGCAGAGTTTGTAAGAATAATAACCTGGCCACTTCACTGAACACTGGTTCCTTCCAATGCATTATGTACCACATTCTCACCAAGCTGGTCATTTCACAGCCAAAACCACCCAGTTTTGCAGTGCCTTAGATGTACCAAAGACCTTTATGACAGGACTTGATAAAGTCATTAACATCTAGCAGCAAGTAACTGCCACTATGCCTGTACCATCTCTTTAGAGAAACAGCGAAAAATCTCCTAACTCCCCTTAAGAATTTGAGGAACAGTTAGTTTAATTAATTTCAGTTAATTAATGTATTTTCAGTTAATTAATGTATTGTTCACTATTAAAGTAATAGTGAACAAATCAAACAGACCAATGGTTTCCAAAAGCTATGTGTGATGGTCTACAAAGTACAATAGAGAATTAGTCCTTTGTCTGAAAAAACCCTCTTCTATCCCTAAGAGATCATGAAGAACTCTCTGGTTCTGTTTAATTGTTTTAACTGTGCTACTGCCATCCTTCCCTCAAAGTAGGTCTCACCTTCTAAAAACTTGCGGAGCATTGAGTCCTTTGTAGTTATAGAAACTTCATCTCCAGCAACTGGAGTATCTGGTTTGGACTGAAGCATCTCTACATCTGAGGGAAAAAAAAAAACACAAACAGAAAGATGAACCTGTTAATTATATCCTTCAATACATGGAACAATGTAATATGACATAATAAACTGGACCTTTACTTTATGGTGATAATCAAAGAAGCTGGGCAAATGACCAGACATTTTCCTTGAAAAAGGCTTCCAAGTTGCTATGTTCAGTCCACTCTGCACAAATTTTTTCCAGCTGCCTGATGCTTACACTTGAGGGTGACTAACAATGCTATTGAGAAGTTCTGACAAGGCTTCAAGCAGGCATTGAGTTTTGGCTATTCTTGAGCGTGTGTTTGCCAGGTGAAAGTTTGGACCTCTGGGCAGTGCCCCAGAGAGGAAACCATGTGGCTTGGAAAAACAAGACATTAAAGGCAATTTTCCCATGACACATAAGATAGTGTTTATTTTATTTATTGGAATAAAGTCAAAACAGTTGGCTGAGTTAATTACTTGTATCTGGAAAGCGTTTACAGGGTCAGATGATAATTCAGTATTGAGAAAGGACTGACAGCAAACAATAAGATACTTTGTTAATTCAATGTTTTGACATAAAGAATTCTGACTTTAAAGAAAAAGACGAACCTCATCATAACACTAATATAATCTTAAAACTAAAATAAAACATTAGGTAACCATGTTCCTAATGATATTAAAAACAAGAGCAATATAAATGGATTGCTGAGGCTTATTGATATAAGTGAATTTTTGAGATATATCTATTTCTATGTCATAGATCTACTACTATGTAAACTAGATAGTTTGGGTTACATGTGAGAATATGAAATACTTTTAACTCATTACAACAGCTTCAGTCCCCTGTTACCTTATTCTCAAACAAGTTCCTACCAGAAAAATTGACCCTGTGGTATCTAAACTTCCTTTGATCAGTCTCTGAAAAACTGTGGTGGAAGCAAACCTTGATCACAATAAATGGGCACAGTGCCACAGTATGGCTACACCTAAAATAGCCCAGGTATTATCCTCTACACCACAGCCATATCTACTCACATACAGGTAATTCCTAGAAAAAGTACTTCAAGAGAAGTTAGTTAGGATGCCCTAGTGAGCCATCCTCACAAACCTTCAAGTCAGTACAAAAGCTTAAATCCTTTATTTATGATGGTCACTCTAAACCAGCCAGCACTCACATTAATTTCAGTAAGAGTTTGCCTGTGTGCTGGTATTCTAAATGATATTGAAACACTTTCACTTTGAGAGAATCAATCCAAGTGCTGATAATTGCACCAATTTAAACTTATCTGTTATGATACAGGTAGATTATAAGCACTGTTCAGACAAGCTGTTAATATTCTTCAGGCAAAGACTAACAGACCAGGTGAGGAAAACAGAATTTCAATAAAAGACTCCTGAATGGAAGGAGAGCAGAGGTTTGTGCGCAAAAGCAACACACTAGAACTCCAGAAGAAGCAGGAAAGAGAGGCTTTCAGAGTCCAGTTCAAAAGTGCTGAATTACAGGGAGCTCAATTTGCAAGAAAATTCCATGCATAGTTTCTGGGAGATCTGGGCATTTCAGGCCTCGAAGAAGGGGAGTTTGGCTTAGTAGTGTTGAGCCAATTGTTTTTTAACCATCCACAGGCTTTGTCAATCAACCCCATTCAGAGGTGCACTGATTACAGGCAGACCTACCAAGCATCTAGAAACTCTCACCCATTACTGCAAACAAGAGCAGCTTTGTTCCTTTCAAGTCCAACCTGATTTACTGCTTATCTCCACCTGAAGGCAGAATAACCCTGGTTTTGGTAGCAAAACTATCCCTGCAGTGGCCAACAACACTTAGCAGAGAAGAGTTTATGATTTCAAGGAAAGAACCAACACAGTCTTCTGGGCTTCATAAACAACAAAAATGTGTTTTATAGTATCATTTAATCTAAAAGACAGTCCAGGACCAATGTAGCCAATAAGCACAAGTGTTTCAAAAAGAAAGCTTTTCCCCTGAGGCAGCACACTTAAAAACTGCAGAAACACTAGAAGTCCTTAAGTACCTTAAGGAGGTACTTAAAATAGAAGAAGCTAAATTTTCTGCTCATTATGGGAATCATATAATAGATCAGTGGGATTAAGTCAGACCAAACAGACAGGTGAGTAAGAACAGCAAATTTACAATTGCTTAACAGAGGTACTTAATTTGGTGTTTTCAATTGGCCTCACTGAATATTAGTACTATAGTGAAAAAGTTAAAAATATGCATATTTATCAGAATTAGCTCTCTATTTTTAGCAATAAACCAATCAGATTAGAAGAATGATTTTTCACTTATAATCTTTTTGGTATACATATTTCTAGATGTTCACTTTCTTTTGCTCTCAAGCTGTTGCACTAGAATCTCAGCTCTTGTTTTTCAGTTTCCCAGTTGTCAGTAAAATCACATCTGACATAGTGTTCTTTTCTGTCAGTTCCTAGGTACCAGTCCTCAGGAGGAAAAAGCAGGACAATGTAGAAAATTAAGTCTCATTCCAAATGTTAATTTATTTGCTCAGGGCTCAGGGAGTCCTTGAAACACTGAAGAAACAGCTCTTGATCTCGTACACTATCAATTAAGAAAAGGTATAGAGCAATTTTGTCAGTCAGCCGATGATGGAACTGTAGCACAGTTTCCTTGTGGTGAGAGCAGAAAAGCTGTAACTGAGGAACTCCTGTATGTGAGAGAGACAGGTCTGAGCAATCTGATCTAAACACACCTCCCATTGCAGAGGGCTTGGACGGGGTGAGCTTTAGAGGTACCTTCCAACCCAAACCTTCCCATGATTCTGTAACTCTATGAATATACATACAAAGATCTTCTGGGGCACCCGGGACAAATCCAGCCATGGATTCATAAAGCTCTTCATCAGAGCCTGGATTCAAGGAACATTTCATTAACAGATCAGTGGACAGGTGAGCCATGGACTCATAAACAGACTCATCCTCCTCGCCTTGCATCAGCTCTTCCTTAATGTGACTCTTTAGCATATCTGCAGTTTCCTGAAGAGGAAGGAGAGCAAAAAAAAAAATTAAAGTCTCTTTTAAATAAAGAATCTAGAGAATAAAAGCAAGCAAAAGATATCTCACTTTGTCAGCAGTGATTAAAAGAAACCCTCTGAAGACAGCTCATTCCCAAAGATTAAGGCTTCTCAAGTGACTTAAATCCCCACTACAGTTGTCTGGGTCAAACTTTTGAGAACTTTATTGTATTAATAGGTAACAAAGGTGAAACAAGGGCTGCTGACACATTCTGAGTAGCCATTGCAGCCTCTCACCCCACCAATTTCATGTCCTACCCAATATCTGCAAACTCCCAGAACATAAGCACAGCTCATTCTAAAAATACTAATGTTTGTCAAAGGCTATTTTGGGGCATGCATAGCTAACCATAAGGGGGAAAGCTTATCACATGCAGAGCACCTGCAAAATAGCAAAGTTTTAGCTTTGATGTAGATTCAGTTTCAGTTTCTTGGCATTAGCAGCAGCATGTAACACCCAGAGTGGGAGTACACAGACCCTTTTCTGTGATATTAACAGGAAACCTCATAGCAGGCAGCAGTTCATGCAATACAGGCAACTTCTGATTCACAGGAGAGCAGAATCCTTTCTTTTGCATTTGCAACAAAGAGCAGGGGGGAAGGCAGAGCTTCACCAAATCACAACACAAGGACGCAAAAAGTAAAGCTTCATCCCATTCTCCTTCCCAAATTCCCATAATATCACAAGCACCACCTTAATAGTTGCAATACTACAAGATATTCTTCCATTCACAAATGCAGACTCATGGGCCCTCAATCCACAGGGCATGTGTGTCAAAGCTGTCTACACATGCTTCCCTCCACAGTCAAAATGTGTCAGGCCAATAGTTCACACAATGCTTTACAAAGGTGCAGAGGAACCTTTGCCAGAGAGAAAATTAGGTGAGCAACAGGGTTTAATGGTATTTTCAGACATCCATACTACTGATAGTAGTCACACTATTGCAGATGGTTTGTGTGCTTTGTACTGTGCTGCACTGACAGCTCCAGCAGGTCAGTGAGGAGGACCTGCCCTTAACACAGCTCTGTCACTGTGCTGGTGGAGAGAACGTGGGAGGAGCGCAGTACTGCAATGAGAGGTTGGAAGGACTTGCTGCACATCTCTCACTTACCCCAATGCAAAGATTGTGATCTCACTATTTACAGTTTCTGCAGCCCTCCTGATCTCAGAATATAGAATGGCTTTTATTTAGCTCTAATGTATAACTGTCAAGAAGCAAGGCCCGAGTCCAAGAACTACCCATGCCTCCTAAATAGGACTCAAACACTACAGTAATTGGCTGGCAGAACCGTGCTAAAGCTAGCAGATCTATCACTCAGCCCTCAGACAATGTTAAGGACAATTAAGCACAACTTTTCAACCTAAAGCAAAGGCAAAAAGAATTCAGATGTGGTCAATGTGACCTGAGTCAAGGAGCTCCTTTTTATTTTGAAGCATACAGGCCAGAAACAGCTCAAACTGAAATGAAAGGAAAAACTCCATGCGCACCCAAGTACTGCACAGAAACAATTGCTTAGTGCAGCTGGAGTCGGGTCCATGTCATAATCTGGAAAAGTCAGAGTGTGTTTTCTGGGGGTGGGGTTAGCTCAAATAGAAATGAACTCTCAGTTGGGATCCCTGATAGAACAAACAGGGAACGGACAGCTATACCAATGCAGGGAGAAATGGGTGTCAAGTGGAACAGGCAGACTACACAGATCAGCTGTGAATGAGCTAGTAAGCAATCCTGCCTATACTAAAACTAATAAGAGAGCACCTCAAATTGTATCTTCCTAAACATATTCTGTTCCCACATTACTCCCTAAAGTAAGCTGGATGAAGGGGCTCTTTCCCAAGATCAGAACTAGAAGAATGCACTAAGCAGCAACCACATCTCTTCAGAAACTTCATTAGATGGATAGAGGAATGGAAGCCAGCATGGCAGTCTCTGTTTCCATCTTACTTGCTCTTTGCAAAAGCCCCAGGAATTTCCCTGGCTCCAGAGACACACCTAAGCCCCCAGCCTGAAAGCTTGCAGTGTGGCTGGACGTCTGTGTACCACAACACACTTTATCACCCCAGCACTCCTGCTCAAGTAACACTGAGTGCCAAGCTCAGTGCCAGAGCCTGGTGTGGGACGAGGCAGAAAGACGGCTCAGCTTCCTCTTACCACGTATTCATCAATGAACTGGCGCAGGTCCTTAAAGCCGTGCTTTTCTGCGATGGTGTTTGGATAGTGGCCATACTTGTTGGCTACGCTGTAGGCCTGCAGTGCTCCAGGGCATGTAAGCAGCAAGGCAGTAAGGTTCTTCAGCCCATATCTTGCAGAGAAGTGAAGAAGTGTTGGCAACTCCTCATCCCTCTGATCTGTGAGAACAGAAGCCCATTAGAACCTAGTTTTTCTCTACTAGCAGCAGAGCCAGTAGGTGAGAAACAAACACAGCAATCACACAGACCAAAGCAGCTGGAAAATCCCTGAAAGTATATATATGGTTTCAAAAGCAAGCCAACAGCACAAATAATCTTGTGCATCTCCAAGCTTAAGTCCTATAACCTTTAGTGGGGAATATGGCACTGTAATAGCTTAAATACATGTAGGATCCCAGATTTGCAAGGACTTCTTAGAACATCATTACAAAAAGACAGCATATCAACCCAACTGCTCAGTGCCCACTGTGTATCTTAGGAGTTATGGGGTTTGGGGAAAACGACTGGGCTGTGGAGAAAAGGCATGAGGCACAAGAAAAACGCAGAAAATCTGGGAGACATTTGGGGAGCACCATCTTTTCACTCTGGTTTGAGGCTGTCTAATATAGCAGCATCTGCCACAGTGCAGGGAAGTGAAAATGACAGATGTAATAAAAAAGGGTCACCTGACTCAAATGGCAATTCCCTTTCTATAGACATCATCAAAATTTAGCTTCCTGGCTGAGATCCAAGGTTTTTGAGACAGCCTCTGCAGGTACCATCCACTGCAGTGTTAGAAGTGCTTCAAGGTAAAACAACTGATACAAAGAAAATCTACAAACCAAGTGTCTTTAAACTTACTTGCTGTCATATCTTCTTCTTCCAGCTGGTTGATTCCAAACAGGTGTAGACCACTAGCAGGAATGTTCTTCTTGAGTGACTCAGTCAATAGTTTGTCCAGGGCTTCTATGCTGTATGGCACAATTTTAAAGGCCTACAGACAAATGGAAAGCACTTTTGTTTGGTAGCATCTGGAGATTCAGTTAAGGTGAGATTTATATGGTGTCTTTATAATTTAATACAATCAGAAAACAGTAGGTATAAACACAAAAGGTAGAAATGTTCAGGTCAAACAAAGAACTTGGCTAGCTTCCTGGTGTAGAAACAGACTATCATCAAGCTCAACAGATGACAACTGTACATTCCACAAGACAGAGCACATTGAGAAAGTCACTTATGCAACTGGAAGCACAGAAAACTTGCTTCCTACTTTCTTGGCAAGTATACACTTACTTCTGAAAGTGTTCCAGTGAAATATCATTCCTGCTTTAAGTATGCACTAGTCCATTTTGAATTGTACTCATGCTGAGTTCAGCTTTTGGACTGGTTCTTTACCACTGGGAAACAGGCATACTCCCTAAGCAGAGGCAACAACCAGTTCCAACTGCTACACAACTTGAACTAAAAAGCAAGGGAAACAGTCTCCCCTCCCCAGGTATATTGGTGACTAACAAGGCTACTCTGTAGGCTTCCATTACATGGCAGATCAGGAACATGCAGGCAGGCAACAGAGCAACGCTGCAGAAAACTTCCTTGTGCAAGCTTTACCCCTCTACTAGGGTTCAGGTACCCCAGCTGGGCAAAACAGAATAGGAAAACTGAGTGGCTGTACTGAAAAAGTGTTAAGAATCAGCAAATCCTTTTATGTTACTCTGCTTCCTCCAGCTAATACGAATCTTTGCTACTATTAACATATTTTTTTTTTAATAACACCTAGGTACAAATTCCAAAACGTTTTATTTCTTTATGGTACTTTCTGTTATATCAAGTTCTGTCATTCCAACCTTTTGAAGTCATCAAGGTCTAAATGTAGGTGTTGATTGACCATATTTTTATTTCTTAGTTTGATAACCTGACTCACCTTAGCCAGCTATGTGCTCCAGAGACAGAAAAAACAGCCATGCTTTCAATAAAAGGGGATATGAGAGTTAGGTGAAAATCCCTAAATAACCTTGCATTTCTTCATTTCAGAAGAGCTACCTTCATGGCAAACACTTTTGCTTATGCCTGCTTGTCTAGCCTCTGAAAGAGCTGGTTTCCAAAGCAGCTGATTGCTAAAGTCCTTACCTGGCACATGAACTGTACAGGGTTGGCTGCATTAGCCAACAGATTGCTGATTTCCTCCATGTCAGTATGGTAAGTGACACTTGTTTCTCCCACCATCAGGTCCCCTGAATATATCTGCAGGGTCACTGTCCCAGAGGTTAAATCTTTGAAAAGGAAGAGCAAAAATAACTATTAGCACAAACAATGGGCTGCATGATGTACTGTGAGGACAGGAGGAGTTTGGATATACCACCAGATGGCTACCAAAACAGTTTCTGCTATATTGAACTCATGAAAAGTCATGAGAAGAGTCATGATCTTGGAACTCTAGGTAGGACAGTACTTTGGAACTACCTTCTTTATGGCTATGTCAATGCACATAACCTGCTAGGTCCTCTGCTAACAGTAGACTGGACCACTAATGTTAAAAGTACTCCACCTTGAATAGAAAGCCACACATCTCTCCACCCCTGGCTTCTCTGGAGCTGTCTATAAAGCCATACCATAAATACAAAGAACTGGGGAAGAAAAGAAATCAGAAAAGTCACTAGAGATTTTGCAATCTCTGTCAGCCTCACTAGACTCTGAAAAAAATCCATTAAAAGGAATTCCAGCTTTGCAACTTTACCCATGCACAGGATTATCTTCTACTTGCACCTTGGAGGTTCTTGATGTTTCACTTAATATGCATTTATAAGTCTGAACTTTCTCTTTGAAACACAGATATTTTGAATCCCACTAAAGTTAGTCTTTCCCTGTTAAGAACTTGGGAAATTATGAAACTGTTAATAACACAAAGGAATTAATTATTTCTCTTACTGTTAGAAACTTCAGAGCTTACACTGTACACTCCATCAATGTGAAGGTCACGTTTATAATTCAATGTACAAGTTAGTTTTCAGGTCAGTGTTTATATCGTAAGACTTGACTTAAGACATTAAATTAAGCCTTTATATGTTCATGAGGTCACCTTCTTTAAAATCAACTCACTTCACTGACTTTATGGTATTTGCTTTAATGACTATTAGTCTCTATTCTCAGAGAGAATAGCAGAATGACTCTTCAAGAGGACAGACTATGATAGATTAAATAAAATAATGCTGGGAAATAATAGCAATCCTTAAGGCTCTGAAATCATTCCCTTAAAGTTCAGTGAACCTAAAGTTTAGGCAACCTTCACTTCTGTAAATGTAAATATTTAGAGTGACAAAACATATTTAAATTAAAAGCCAGAATAAATAGTCTCAGTTCTGATCACAAAGATCACTACACATTAAACACATGCCATTATAGTCATGTAATTATTTACTGGCACTTCCCTTCTCTCTTGGTGCCCTGCCAATGCTATTAATGGTGGTGGTCATAACACACAGCTAAGTTCAAAGTGCTCTACAAGCTGCAATGTGTTCTCAGAACTCCCAGCAAGGTGTTTCCACCCTGCAACCCTACTGCTGCTGAGGGGAAAACACAGCCCACAAGCAGCAGTCTCTCTCAGTTCCTCATCAAAAGTATCACAGGTGAGAATGCAAGTTCAAGATTTTCTGGACTCAAGTTTTTTTGCACTGGAATCTTTACCCTTATGCCCCTGGCACTTCTCAGGACAGGCAGGTTGAGATAGAAAGGAAGCAATGGGGAAGGAAAGGGGAAAAAAAAAATCTCAATCCATCTTACTTGGAGCCTTCACAGAGATTGTGTACTCATTCTCCATCTCAGCCAGCACACGCACAGAGGATCCATTCTCTGGAGAAAATTCAACTTCAGTTTTCATTTCACCATCTAGTTTACATTTCATGATAATATAAACTGTTGTCTGCACCTAAAACAAAATGCATTTCAACACAGAGGTTCAAAACAAAAACACTTACTTGGTTAAGTCCATTTTCTAGGGATTTTGTTCTCATTGCAACTAACACATCAATTGTCACCTATCATTTTCACAGTTTTGAATTGTTTTCAGGAGCATCTTCCAGTGAAAGACTAACTGGGCAGGTGGCTTCTGCTACAGCTTGCACCAGTATAGATACAAGCATTAAACTAATAGAACTCCAGATTTATTAGATTCATAAACTGATTAGGGCTAGATGTATAAAATTATTTACTTTCAAGTCTATCCATCTCTTCCCTTAAGCAGCACAGCCACATTCTAAACAGAAACAAAAGAAAGAATCTTGGACTCTTTCCATCTGAGGAGATGCTATACTAAAAAGTGCTGGTTTTCAGACAAGTAGCCACGATCCAAGCTTTTCAGGGTCACTTGCAAGGCATGCACAAGAATTGTCATATTAGACTGGATACTGACTGTGGAGCTAATCTGTTCATTACAGTCATCTTACTCCACTTGCAAGCAGAGCAGAGGAAGGGAAGAGTGTGAACCTGTCTCACAGCACCCAAGTCAAGCAGCCATGTTAATGGGACAGTCATTAAGTGACAGCACAGCCTAGACAGCACTAAGCACTGCACCAACTGTCACCAAGCTACTCCTGGGCCTAGGCAGCCAAGCCCATGAAACAGGAGACATGGAGGACAGGGGGCTGAGCAGGAAGGTGACAGAAGAGTTCGGGACTAATTTTCAGGCCTGTAAAGCTGAACATTACAAAGCAGCATAATGGGCTGCAGCAGCTCACAGTTAGAACATAGCCCAAGGAGTGGACATACAGTACCCCACATTGTATGCGGCTGGGCTGCACCACTGGACAGTCTCCAGTGCTCCTGGATGATCCACGTTCTTCACTCATGGCAAGTCTGTGGGAGTCAGCTGGATTCTTCTCGTCTTCTGTTTCTGTATCAGTCACAGAGTCACAGCCTGAGTCTAAAATAAAGTATAGAGAGTCCTGATGCCTCACTTCCCTTTGCTGAAAATGCTTATCACACCCATCCATCCTAAAAAACAGCTGTGAATGTGGTGGGATGGAACTTGCTATTCCTCTCAAAGTAATGCTCAGAAAAGGGGATCTAGTTGAAGAAAGGGAAACTAGAGTGTTTCCTCTTTTTTTTCCCCCTTAAGAGGATTTGAGGAGGAAATTAACAAAGACATGAAATCAGTAGAGTAGCACTGAATATGCTTACAGAGCAAACAACAGTGGCACTCTGCTGAGCTGGATAGTCCCCTCATGTTAAACAGGAAAATCAGCATGTGAACATCTAATATAAGAATGGTCAGCATCTGAACTCATCTGACTCAAGCAGCACTCTGATATACTCTAAGAATGGCAGCAGCCTTTAGTCTTGCTTTCCTAAAATAAAACATGATAACCAATGTTTGTCATTTCACTAGCATCTTTAGTTTTCTCAGTGCTGCTTACCCCAACTCCCTAACTTTGATTATTGCATCAAAAAATAAAACATGAAGCAGTAGTCTGAAGGGGTTCTGTTCCTTGGGCAAGAACCATAAGCTCCAGTATCTATACAAGAGTGAAATTGAAACCTTTGCATTGAAAAGTAACAGAACTTTACTTAAACAGAATCAAGAGCAGAATTAACACATGTAAGCTGACAATATGTGTGTACTAAACAATGTTCTCACTCTCAATTCCCAAAACCAGCATGGATATTGATAGAAGCGCAAACAAACTGAATTGATACCACTGGCTGAAAAAAATTATCTATCCCTGCCAGGAAATACTTTTCTCAGCTAGAGAAAGGAAACCAAAGACAATTACGTAGCTACTTAGTACAGAACACTTTTTTAGCCAGTTTCTACTTCTTGATTCACACCATTTCCCCCCCCCCCCGTCTCCCAGAACACAAGGCCAAAGTCACTGACTCCACTTTGTCAGAAGACTATAATGACTTCTTAAAACTATCCCCTGTGGTCAGAATTTCCCAAACTTTATAAGCCTCTGAAGCAGTCAAGGATTTACATGTTATTTACTACTTAGTAAAAAAACCAAATCTGTAAAGAGTAGTACAAATTATTTACCAGATAAAATCTCAGACTTGGATTGTCATTGTTCTTATATTAGTAAGAAATATTCTATTTAAAATGCTCAGTCCTGATTAGGAAAAACCTAAGTTTGACTGGGCTGTCAAACCTGTGGCATTTATACAGTGAAGCTGCCAAGAATTCAGATTTCACTCAGAATCCTCCAATCTTCAAGCACATCAATTTTCCACAAATCAAGAGAGCCAAAATAATTATAGAGTGGGCCACCATTAGGAGTTCAGATCTTCCTAGTTTCAAACTGAAGCTAGAAGCCAGTCAGAAACTTTAATGTAGACATCTTCATAATTATTATTGCCACCAAAGACTTAAACTTAGGATATTAGAAGTGCTTTGTCACACAATTCTTTAAAAGGTATTTTCAATTCATTTAAGTGGGATTTTAGGAATTATGAGAAATCAACCTTGCTTTCAGGAGACAAGTTTTAAGCCACAAAACTTTAGCAAAACATTCAGGTGACATTTTTTTCACAAATTTTGGGGCACACACACTTAACTAAGTATGTGAATCTCTCCACATGGCATATATGCCTACTCACATGAGTAGATTGCTGCATTAATGTTTGCTGTAGAAAGAAGAGAGCCAAAAATTTGCAGCTCTGAAGCTTAAATAAGGCATGACCACTAACATCAACATTTCTTAAACAAACCTTGAACAGTATATGTAATTTAGCAAACAGATTTTAATACCGAACCAAATCTGAAGATTTGGCTAAGCAACTGCTTTGACACAAGGCTGAAAGCTGTATTGAAGGTGGTCTTTGGGATTTTCAGACTAATACCAAGTATTAGAAAATTAACTGAGGCATTATATTCCTTAACTCAGTATTTCAATTGGTACTGTTCAAAGTCATCAGCTGCAAGAACCAGACACATTTTGGGAATCCTTCTCTTAGAGAAACATGGACTACTCCCACCTGGGAGTCCCAGGCTACCCTGCTGCATAGAGGAGAAAAAGCACTGGTCCCACAACCTTCCCTTATATGATAGCTATCAATTCAGGTGTTTGGCATATGCAGAGCAAGATGCCATGCCTTTTGGGGAGAAGAGGCAACTGTTACTAGATTAGTGTCTCCGTAATCTCTGTTGGTTACTTCCAATATGACTAAGTCAGAAAGAGTTCACTAAATTCACAGCAGATGAGAGAGCCAATGATGACCCTCTTGCTCTACAGTAAGATATTGATGTTCCTGCAACATATGCACAAATAGACACTTGCCAGCATCCTGATCCTCGGGGCTTCATCCCCAACCCAACACAGAACCATTAGTGTGTTAATTTTTACCTCACTTGGCCAACGTGATTTTTCAGAGAAAAATCAAACCAAAGCTATGGATCTCAGCTACAATATACACAGCAAGCAAGGATAAGAGGGGTGTCAAGGAGAGAACAAGACCCCAGGTCTCTCTGCCTTAGCAGTGTTATTTGATACTAGAAACCATTTAGCAAATAAAGAATAACTAGAGCTTTTAAGAAGTTCTGGCATTGCACTTCTGCATTCTTGTAACAGAGTTGACTGCCTGGAGGTCATGTGAACACAGAGCTGTTAGGTAATACAGGAAGAAGCACACAATGTTAATCAGTAATTGGATTAAAAGCTGAAGGAACAGGCATTCAGTTTCAGGTATGAATTATTCATCTGTTTTTTCATTCAGAAAATACTGAAATTGCAAAGTACCAAATTCCCACATCAGCAGTGAGGTGATCCTATGATTCATCTTGAAGTTCCAGTCATGTGCTAGTGACTGACTCGTGAACGTGCAAGGTCTGGAAGAGGAAATCATCCCATAACACTTGATAATATCCATGCTCTAAAGCATTGTTAGAGCAGGTTTCCCACCCACTAAGATACCTGAGTAATGACAACCCATTTGCATACACAGACTCAGCAGTTATAAAATTGCAATTACAGGCAGCCTAGAGAAGCCATCACTGAGGAAAGCAACAGACTTATTAAAGTTAAGTGAATACCTGAATTAAGCTTCTCCATGAGCATGTGCTGTAGGTCAACACTCATGGTTATAAGAGGTTCTCCTTTTCTGCTCCCTTTGAAACAAAGGCTCCCTCAGGCCTCACTTGACGGTCTGTGAAATACTTGTGAGAATAGCAGCAAGGGGAGGAGATGTGGTCCAAGAAACCCAACCACATTTCCCCTTGAAGAACATGCACCCCTCCAGGATGTATCAGCAGCTGAGCTGCAGAGAGCAGCCTCATGCTCTTCTTGCCTGCCCTGCTGGGCCCCCTGCACAGCTGTCCTGCAGACACTCACCCCAGGGAAAAGCCCAGGGGAAACACAGGCATGGACATGTGCTTCAAGAGCCATTTAGCAGCTTTAGAAACTCCTATGAAGCAGCCAGCTATTTTGACCTGCTGCTGTAGAGCACACAGCTCTCCCTATCATCCATTTCCTCCTGGCAAAGCTGGCGGGCTATCGGCATGGAGCTGACAGCTGTGGTTTCTCACAAGTCAGCCCTCACACCAGAGGACATGTGAATGCTTGGAAGAAGTCAGCAGTCTGTCCAGAGCACTCTGTCACCCAGATATTAGTTGTGCCCAACTAATGGCACAACTGGGCAACAGCTTGTCTCTTAAGTTCTGTGTGGGCAGACCAGCCCCTCACTGACATCTGCAAACACCTCCCATTCTGTCCATCAACCAGTTGAGACAATTAGCTCTCACAAGGCCTTAGACTTTAAGCACAGACCTCACTATGCTTAGAGCAGGAGCTCAAAGAGAGCTCCTGCTTTTACCTGAAGCTTGCAACTGGCCAGTGTCCTTTCCGAAGTGCTAATAAGGACATTAAGTCTCCCAGAACAACTACAGCTACATTTGCAAGAAGCAGACAAAGTACTGGCAAGTAGTTGGGGAAAGCAGGGAAAGTTATCTCTCATCATGCCAACATCAGAGCCCCTGCTTCACCAAGGAGATAAAAGCGCATCACAGCAACATCTTGTGATAAACCCTCAGAACTGGGCGATACTGTAGCAACACTTCCCGTTTCAACTGAGTGGAGAGAAGCAGGCAGAAAAACAGCAGTGTGAAAAACAAAACACAGGAAAAGTTAGGACTTTGTAAAACTGTCCATACAGAACAAAAAAATTTATGGGACATCTCTCTCTTCTCCCCAAACCCCTCACCCCAAGCAGCTCATCTACAAGCACAGCACCTACAAACAGATTTTCAATTCTATGAAGAGCATAGTCATGTTTCGCATGTCGTGCAAAGTTTGAAACTACAACGAACTATTTCTCATCCTCCATCAAGGAAACAAAGTGCATTTGACTGTCAATTTCTGCTGAGGTTCTTGCAGGTCTACCAGTCAATTTGCGACTGGATCAAGCATATGAACTGAAAGAACTAGCTGGGGTGCACAGGAATAGGACAGAGATAGGGAAGACATTGAGGAAGAAGAAGGGTTCTGGCTACCCAGACAACAGACATTGTGTACGTGACCAAAATCTCAAGCAAGAGAGGCTGGGATAGTTCACTTCCACTACTTCTGGCAGAAAGAGACAACACATACTGACAAAGCATATGCACACCTCTAACCACTTTCACGGCTGCCAAGAATCACATGATATCCATCACTGATTCAAGCCTTCCTGAGAAGCCATGGGTAAGAAACATGAACATCCAGACAGCTAATTCATCATCTCCTCTTGCAGTACCTCCTTGCTCCAATTTAAGTGCAATATGTAATGCCTGCATGACAGAAAAGACAATCCCCATAAAAGCCAACAAACCTGAACTCCATCTGAGAGAGCTGGGCAGCTGTTTGGAAACATCCCACCGGTCACTGTTTGACTGAACGTGTGGTTCTACAAGTGGCTCCAGTAAATCTAAGACCAGATTACCACTGCAAGGGCAGTCATGCCGTGCCCCTCCTTTGAATAATTTCTCTTGGAATACCACCCTTGTAGTCCAACACCACACCCAATCAGACAGATGAAAGGTGGAGAATGAGGCAGACACTCTTGCAGCACTCCATGCTAAGGTCATCCTATGCCACTGGTCAAACTTCCCCATGAGAAACTCAAGATACACTGTTATTTTCAAGTCACTTTTGAAAAACATGTCAAAAGTTTTCTGAGGTAATAACAAACTGCTATAAAAATATTACAAAATGTAACCCTGGAAGTAAAACAACTGTCCAAGTACACACAAAGGGTCTGAGAAATAACCTCAATTCTGTTCCATACATCTCTCCAGACCTGCTCTCCAATGCATCTTTTTCTTGACCACATACTTCTATTGAGATTTTCAGAAATTACTTCAGCTGCTCCAGACTTGAATATGATCAATGATGGCCACTGGGCTCTAACTTCAAGCAAATGTCTTAAAGCCTTGCAGTTCTCATTAGCAGATACCTAGAATTAGTCTGAGACCATAAAGCAACCTGTGAGGAGATTGTCAGAACCACAAGCCACAGAGAAATATGATTAGTATTTACAAGGTGCATAAAGACTATAATTGTCTGAAATTCTTAACCACAACAGTTTCTGTCCTTTACTATTTCTGGGCTATCATTTCATTGTCTCTATTTAGAAAGTTAGCATGCGCCTATGCTAGCACTGCTTGAATTTTATAAAAGAAAACCCATGAAGTATTGCTTTTTATGTAAATAACCTGGACTTTATGAGACACCTTGATGACAAACAATTAATCAACTCTGCAGCTGGGAAGATTATTTTAACTGCTTGATCCCATATGCTACAGATGGATAAGAACATCCATGCATTTCTCTCAGAGAACTCTCACTATCACTTGGGAGCTTAGTTAAGGTTTCTCTAATTGCTTTAACCAGCTCTCTAAAGTCTCTGATTTTCCAGCATCAGTCATGTATACCCATGCACAGAGAGGCATGCGACCAGCATGTTCTCTCAACCTGAACTCCTGTGCAAGAGCGTCACAGTTTCCTCTTCTTGACAGGCAGTGAGAACCAGCCAGGCTGCTGAGCTCCCATATAACAAAGCAGGCTCTCATCTGCACCCAGAGGCTGACTAATAGCTCACCCGCTCCTCTTCAGTGAGCAGGGTCAAAGAACCACATCTTATGTTTGAACAAGATAGAACAGAGAAAAATATCACTTTAATAATATCAATATTTTTCAAAGAGGAGGGAGAGAGAACTGCATGCTACCACCTCACATCTTCGAGACCAATAAGCTGGCAGAAGTCAATGTTGGATATAATTAGCTGAGATAGAACTACTCAGAACATATTCCTCCACAGAGCACTGAGAGTGGAGAAGTAAACACCACATGATAGTTCCCATGAAGCTTAAAAATACTTTGTGAATTTAGGTCTCTAGCCCTAAATGGCAACTATTAGCACAAGTAAACAAATAATCAAATCAAATAATGACAGAAACAAAAAGCTGTAAGGAATCTCACAGGTACTACAACTTCACCTATCTGGGTTGAGAACATCTGTCTAACATGACCTTAAATTCTGAGTAGCTTATTCCAAGGTTTAACTTTACAGCCTGAGTCCAGCACAGGAGCATAAAGATGATTAAGGAACCACAGCATCTTCCATAAGAGGAGAGGCTGCAAGAGCTGGAACTTCTTCAGCCTGGAGAAAAGAAGACTCAGGGGAATCTTATATGGACAAGATAGCAGAAAATGAAACAGAGGGGGCCAGACTTTTCCATAGTGCTCACTGACAGGAAAAGAGGCAATGTGCATAAACTAAAATGCATGAAGTTCCATCTGAACACAAGAAAACATTTTGTTACTCTTGAGGGTGGTCAAATATCGGAACAGGTTGCTCAGAGAGGCTGCGAGGTGCTGCAGTCTCCACCTGCAGAGACATTCAAAACCCAGCTGGAAATGGTTTTGGGCAACCTGCTTTATTTAACCATGCTTGAGCAGAAAGTTTAGATGATCTCAAGAGGTCCCTTCCAACCTGAATATGATCTCAAGTTTCATCTGTGGTTTCATCAGTGCAACAGAAGAAAGCCAAGAATTTAATTCAATTCCTTGACATGAACAGGAGGAATAATTATACAGCTTATGTGGTTCTTATGCCATTTCCCTCTCAAAAAAGCTTACTACCTTGGTCTCTGGCATCTCTTAATGAGCCCCTCTGAAGGTGGAGTAACATTTCAGCTTTTCCTGACCTACAAAGTTCAAAAAAAGTTCTCATCTTCCTTCTAATTGCCCAAGGCCCTCCATCTTCACCATATGTTCCCTTACACTGACTTCTGAGCTCTTATTTCACAAAAAGTTTGTTGGTACTCATCTTTCATCCTTGCCTCTTCGAGTGCACAAGAGCTCTGCCAAGGCTGCACTTGTCCTCCAGCAGCACAGTTCACTGCTGCTGTCATATTCAATTACCACCTCAGCCATCTCAGGCAGATGTGGACTTCCCAGTGTTTTTACCCATGAGAGATGGCTTGGATACAGAGAGCTCAAAGCCACCGATGAATTAGTAAATGCTTTGGAAACATCAGCTTTTCAAGTGGGAAATTTGAAATGTTTCAAAGCAACATAGGTAGGGACAAATACACTGGAGCAATTGAAATGTCACATGAGCTTTGAGAACACATGAGGAAGAGAAAGATCACTGCCTCAGACTGTGGCTCAGACTCCCAGCTGCTCAATGCACACAGCAGAGCTATCACAGGCCAGGCAAGAGGAGTTAAGCAGCAGATGGTCACTGCACACTGCTGGACCTGAGCTGGTGTGTACAGAGACATCCTGAGCAAGGTTGTTTAATCTAGAGAAAAGGAGACTCAGGGGGAACTTACTGCTTCCTACAACTACCAGAGAGGAGGCTGTAGACTCTCTTCTTTCAGGCAACGTGCAACGGACACGATGAAAGAGTTTCAAGTTGCTTCAGGGGAAGCTTAGATTGGATACTATGAAAAATTTCTTCACTGAAAGGGTGGTTGAACATTAGAACAGGCTGCCCAGGCAAGTGGCGGGATCACCATCCCTGGAACTGTTCAAAAAAACCACGTAGATGTGGTATTGAAGGACATGGTTTAGTGGTACAGGTAGCAGTGTTAGGTTAATAGTTGGGACTCCATCTTGAAGATCT